CCCTGGAGTTCCAGACCTGGGTGGTGTTGAGTCCTCGGCGCCTGGAGTTGGTGCAGCTGCTGGGCCTGGCAGATGTGTTCACAGTGGAGGAGAAGGCTGGCCGCATCCACGCCGTGAACCACACGGAGATCTGCCATTCTGCCATGCTGCGCTGGAACCAGGCCCGCCCTACCATTGCTATCCTTCCCACAAGCCGGAAAATCCACAGCTCCCACCCCAACATCCACATCGTCCCGTACTCCGACCACTCCTCCTACCCGGAGCTGCGTGCCTTTGTAACAGCGCTGAAGCCTTGCCAGGTGCTGCCCATCGTCAGTCGCCAGCCCTGTAGGGACTACTTTCAGGACAGTCTGGGCCCCAGGCTCCCCGTGCCCTTGGTTCCAGACTCTGTCCAGCAATACATGAGTGTCTCCTCCAGCAAACCAAGCGTCCTCTGCCTGTTAGAAAGAAAGCTCAGGAGGCCGAGGACCCAGGGGGTGGTGTTTGAATCTCCTGAGGAAAAGGCTGATCGATTTCAAGCTGACGGGGACTCCAAGAAAGCCAAGAACGAGGACCTTTCTGGGAACCTTGAGAAGCAGCCTTCCCTCCATCCTTTGCGGACCAAGAAGCAGTTGTTCCCAGACCGCTGCAGCAAGCAGGCAGCCCCTTTCTCCGAGTCCCAGAAGATGGTGACCGTGCTGACTGCCCCCTTGGGTCTTTCAGTTCATTTAAGGTCTCCAGAGGAGGAATTTCTCCCTCCGGAAACTGGGGAGGAAATTGGTGGAGGGCCCCACGTGGTCCCCAGGGGAGACAATGATGGCCCAGCAGTCTCCAGGAACCCGCGTGCGTGGGGGGGCCAGGATTCGCCCCAGTCTCCCAGCAGCAAGGCTGTCCCGCTTCTGGCTCCCGAGTTCAGCGGCCTGGCCCTGAAATACCTCCTCACTCCACTGAACTTCTTCCAAGCAAGGTTCTCTTCCAGGGGCTTTGACCAGCAAATGGAAAAATACCCTAAGTCCTCGCTGAAGTGCAGGCGGGAGCACAGCCTTGTTTGAGCCGGCGCCACAGTTTTAAAGACAGCGGCTGATGGCTGGTGGGGCGTTTGTTTAGGGCCTTTTCTGTCTTCCCAGGATTCTTTTGGGCTCACCTTGGAGCAACACTCCTCAAAGGGTGATCATTGGAAGCCTAATGCTTATGGAATCCTCAGTATATAGTGGACTGTTTGAAAAATCATCTTCATTAAAACCCCTTTACATTGTGAGCCCCTGTAAGGTTGTAAGGCGGCCTGCAGTAACAATCTGTTTACATTTTTTATAAATACTTTTTTTATTGATTTCAGAGAGGAAGAGGGAGAGATAGAAACATCAATGATGAGAGAGAATCATTGATCGGCTGCCTCTTCCATGCCTCCTACTGGGGATTAAGCCCGCAACCCGGGCATGTGATGTTGACTGGAATCAAACCCAAGACCCTTTGCTCCACAGGCCGGCGCGCTATCCACTGAACCAAACCAGCTAGGGCCTGTTTAAATTTGTTAACAGTGTTTCTCCAACGTTTTTGAATGTGCAATCCTCTTAAGTGGCTGCAGAAATAGAGTCTGAAGCCAAAGGGCCCAGGGTATTCCCGTTATTTTGTGTGTCATGTGCCATTCTCCACGTCCCCTCCTCCCTTTTCCTAGACAGAAGCCGCGAGGTGGTTCTGTTTTTTCACTTAGGAACTGGAGCGCTGGAGGATAAAGTGGGGATCCAGGGAGCACGTTCCAATCCTGGAGGTCACTGACTTGCCGTGACCCCATCCCAGCTACTTCCTGTCTCTGTCTTGGGGAGGGAACAGGAAGTGAAGAGCCTTGGAACATGCAGAAAAATTCCATCTTTGCCTCCACGGAGTTTGTAGTTGTCACTGGAGACCTACCTGGAAGGGTGCCAGCTGGAGCATTGGGCACCCTCCCCAGGGCGGTACCTGGAACCAGGCTGAGGGTATGATGGGCCTCCCAGCTGCCTGGAGGCCCTGATGGTGACTGAAATAAAATTACAAAAGATCACATGTGCTGTCAGATATTCCTGATTGTTCACATAGCTGGGATGTTTACTGCCCTCCCCGCTTCAGGCCCCCACCCTTGGGTTGAATAGGGAGCCAGAGCACACAGCCTGTTTGTTTTAGTATCCAGGGCAGGGACCAAGGAGCCAGCTGGTGGAAGGGGTGGGGGTGTGCCGTTCTGCCCTGTTCTGCTCACAGCCTGACGGATGCCAAGCCAATAAGCAGGACAGAGCCACAGGGCACTGGCATGGAGAGCCATTGCTTCAGAATGGACCCGCCAGCCCTCGCAGTAATGCAGCCTGTTTCTTGTCCAGGAAAAACAGTTTCATACTTTGGGAGGAAGATATGAAGAGTTTAGATATCAAAACAGGGCCTCGCTCTTGGGCAAGCTGTCCACAGCTGTGTTTTGTCAGTGGCCTTCACTCTAAGCCTCCCGTGGGCCCACGGGGAGCCGCAGCTGGGGAGCCTGTGGGGCAGCAGGAAACCGGCATTGTCCTGGGCTTGAATCCATGCTTGAACAGCAGAGCCTCTGTGACCCAGGGGCTGGGCTACCTACCTCTCCTGGTTGTCGTGGAGGTTAGAGAACTGGGGAAATTCCTATCTCAGTGCCTACTACTAGTACCTGATGGGTATTTCAAATACTGGTTCTCGTAGATCCTGGTTCTTTACGAAGTTTATAGCCCCAGCCGGTTTGGCTCAGTGCACAGAGCGACAGCCTGTGGACCGAAGGATCCTGGGTTTGGTTCGGATCAAGGGCACATACCTCAGTTGCAGGCTCCTCCCCGGCCCGAGCCCTGGTCAGGGCACATACAGGCGGCAACTAATCAATGTGTTTCTCTCACATTGATATTTCTCTCTGTCTTTCCCTCTCTCTCCCACTCTCTAAAAATCAATGGAAAAATATCCTCAGGTGAGGAGTAAAAAGGAAAAAAGTTTACATATAAAATAAGAAACCTTGGGAATCATATGGAAATATAAAGAAAAACTTTAAGTATAATTGCTCCATGTAGAGCAATTGTTTTAACTTTTTTCTGTGCACATAAATGTATTAAATATATAATTTTTTCAAAATTTGGGTGATGCTGCATATAGTTTCATATCCTGTGGGTTACTAATAGCTTAAGCATTTTTGGTATCATTATTCAAAATGTCATTTTTAATAGCATATTATTTTAATCGTATAATGCTCTATCATATGGGTATATCTTTTTTTTTTTTTATAATTGTACCATAATCATATGGGTATATCTTAAGTCATTTCCATATTATTCATTTTGTGTGCCCTTTTTCACAATTATGCACATCACAGTGAGCATCCCTGTGCATATATCATGGTACTTGTGTTTATTAGATTACTGGAAATGGGATTACAGTTTTAAGTTCTTAATGCAAATTGTGCCCAATTGCCCTCTAGAAAGATTTTCTTACCCTCCTTTTTGCAGAAGAGGATAGCATTAAAATGCCTGGAAGGCTTTTAAGTTCAATGATGTTACTAGCACGGTACATGTAAACACTTAGAGAGTCATCTCACGTGTTAAGATACACGAAGCTGTGTGGGCAAGGCTGAGCCTGGCTTCCTCCAGGAGCCTCCAGCTGGCTCACTGCTGTGCTGCCCACAGGTGTCTGGGAGAGATAAGGTACCCAAGCCGGCCTTATCTCCTCATAACAGAGGGAACCTGTCCATTCCTGGCGGATGCTGTGTCACCCATATTCCTTGAAGAGGGATCTGTATGAATTCGAGCGGGGGAGTAGAAGCAAAGCGCTTGGAGTTTAGTTGTTGGTACAAGTTTGTGTTTTAGTAATGGGAAAATTCCTTACTATTCTAAAGTAAATTTGTCTGGTCTCTAGTAGAGATGGGCAATTGCCTTATTTGTTTTTATTTCTCAATACGCATATAAAAATGCTGCATGGCATAGATCTGAGTAGGCAATTATTTTTAGAACGTAAGGATGACCCCCATAGAGCTATGAAGATCTTCCATTAGGCTTCAAGGTACCGGGAGAAAGGAAGTTCCCTGGAGGTCAGTTAGTTTTTTGTCTCAGGATCTGTGAGAAAACTTGTACTTTTCCACAAGGAGACCGGCAGTGACTTACATCCCTTTAGAGGAGAAAATCGACCTCGCTGGCTTTGAAGGACCCTCTCTCACTCCTGACTCAGACTCCCCTTTGTGGCAGGAAATAGGAGGTAAGTGGGTCTGCTTGTTCAAGAAAGGGGGTTTGGACCTGGGTTCTCTGTCTCAAGTGCACTCCCAGGGAGAGAGTTGACTCTATATTCTCGAAGTGGTCAGTCCCACCAGGGGGCAGTGTTCTCCCCAGGGTCCATATTTCCCAGACTGCTAGTGAGTAGCTGTCAGTCTGTCACCTGCCTCGCACTCTTAACCCTCCCGAACCAGCACAAGCTATTTTGTCTTAGGTTCATGGCACTTCCCTGGGACATCCCACTGACACTGGTACAGAATGATTCTGCTTGCCCTTATAATCATAAAATAGCGAACGAGACAGAAACTGCCCTACCCACATGGAACTCACATTCTAAAGGAGAGAGACAGTAAGTAAATACCAGGTAGTGAACGTGCTAAGAAAAAAACAACAACTGGCTAACAGAGTTGGGGAGAAGTCAGATACAGGTTGTGGAAGGTATCTATGGGTTGACACACATAAGCTGAGACCTGAGTGATGGAAAGGAGCCAGTCAGGTGAAAGACCATGTGATGGGCGTTAACTTGGTGCCCGAGGCACATCATGGAGAGCATATGGCCAAAGGGAAGAAGAGGAGATGAGTTCAGGGAGGGAGACAGACCTTGGATCAGAAGTGACTTAGAGGTTAAAGTAAGAAGTTTGGGTTTTTATCTGAGTGTAATCAATGGGAGGCTATTGGAGTGATTCCCTGGAAGGGAGTGATATGATCTGATACATACTTTTAAAAGCAACAGACGGAGCCCTTGCCGGTTTGGCTCAATGGGTAGAGCACCGGCCTGTGGACCAAAGGGTCCCGGGTTTGATTCCTGTCAAGGACACGTACCTTGGTTGTAGGCTCCTCCCTAGCCCTGACCATGGTTAACAAACAAACAAATAAAATCAAAGATGGAGAAAGGGGCAGGGATGAAAGCAGGAATACTAGTTAGGAAGCTCTTGCCAGCAGTGAGAGGTATTGGTGAGCGGGACTGGGGTTTTCAGAAGATGGGCTTTGGATGGTGTTCAGATCTATTAGACCAGGGGTGGGCAAACTTTTTGACTCGAGGGCCACAATGGGTTCTTAAACTGGACCGGAGGGCCGGAACAAAAGCATGGATGGAGTGTTTGTGTGAACTAATATAAATTCAAAGTAAACATCATTACATAAAAGGGTACGGTCTTTTTTTTTTTTTTTTTAGTTTTATTCATTTCAAACGGGCCGGATCCGGCCCGCAGGCCCTAGTTTGCCCACGGCTGGACTAAGATAAACTGTTCTTCCACCAAAGCTTTCCCAAAGGAGAAATGTATATGTAACCATATATACACCCACAGATAGCATGTAGATGCACATATTTGGAGGGAAGGAAGAAAGGAAGAAAATAATGCTTAAGTTTATTTATAACGTAAGTGAATATCTGGAATACTTTATGAATTAAGACTATTTCCTATAATAGACATGTTTTGTAACTGTGTACTTAGGAAAAAAGATATGGTTTACTTGCTTTGGAGTCAACACAAGCCTTGGGGTTAGAGGTTACATTTCCTGAGAGAATAAGAGTCTTCAGTAAAAAAACTGCACTCATCAGAGAATACTTGCCTTTTAAATTATTGAAATTATTATGATGTTTTAACCATAAATGTTTATGAGAAAAACATTGGTCCTGATCTGTGAGTATCTGCGTCTGTGAGAAGAGATCTGTGAGATGTAATGGAGAACGGCGCCCAGTTGGATTCAGTGTGAACTGAGCCTTTTTAATTTACCAAGTTGTAATAGTCTGTCTCCTTACAGGGAGCACGGAACGAACAAGGTAAGTTTTAGTTGATGAGAGTGCATCCTCCTGCTACAAGGCTCCGAGTCAGGACAGACATAATTTACACCTGCCGTTCCTTTTAATCAAGGCAGTGGAAGTCCGTACCTGTTATTACTCCATCTTTCACTGCTATAGACTTTCTAGTTTCACAGACAGGATCAGCAGATAGGAATAGCAATGGATTCAGAGTTATCTTGGAAGTAACATTAGGGAAATGCTCCGATGGATGGAATGAGGGAGGTAAGAAAAAGCATTATCACCTCCATTTCAAGGAGGAAGAAATCAAGCAAGTCCACTCACACCCTAGTAACTGGAAGAGTTGGACTTCCTACTGACAGGCACTGAAGCCCACGCTCTTCTTCTGTACTGGACATCCGGGGAGCACTGAGCTTGGTCAGGCAGAGCCTACTTCACATTAGAGAATTTCGCCTCTAGTTGTTTTTTTTATATTTTTTTTATTGATTTTCGAGAGGAAGGGAGAGAGAAAGAGAGACAAAAACATCAATGATGACAGAGAATCATTGATCAGCTGCCTCTCGCATGCCCCACACTGGGGATCAAGCCCGAAACCCAGGCATATGCCCTGACTGGGAATTGAACCTCAACCTCCTGATTCATAGGTCAATGCTCGACCACTGAGCCATGCTGGCCTGTCCGTCTCTAGTTTTGATAAGGCACCTCCTACCCCACCTCGGTGGAGAGAACCACTTGCTAACCACTTGATGACAGCTTACCAATTTTATAAAAATGTCCCAAAAGTAATAAAAAAATAAGTTAAATTCACAGCCAAAGATGAAGATTGCTATTTTGAGATTTCTTAAACTCTGTTCTATAGTTAACCAAATTTCGCTGCTTTGAACACTGAATAAACACTCAGTTATTTACTCAGTAAAATAGTTATTAGTCCCAACCACATACCAGGAATTTTGTTAGGCAAGGGATACTGCGTTGGGGCCTTTTTCATTTCTGAGTTTGTAGGAAGTGCAAAATGACCTAGCACAAATAATACCTAATTATGAAATGTCGAGTTCCTGCCCTGATTCATTGCCCTTCCCAGATCATTTATTTTGGCTTTGGCTTTGGCTTAGAATTAATGAGAGGGAAAGATGTGGAATGCAGGTGCCAAAGGCTTAACAGTTGGTCAAAGATGGTCAAAGAAAAGGGAGAAGATACAGAATGGCAGAGGCATGATGAGAAATGATGATCCAGGGAAAGGGAGAGAAAAGCACTATCCCTTAGTTTTGTTGAATAAAGAGCTGGTATATGAAGAGCGTGAGGGAGGGTTAGATGGTTATGTGTAGAGAGGGAGGAAATAGACATGATTGGGGGGGGGAGGAATAAACATGGGTTGTATGAGTATTCAAGGTATTTGCTCTTTCCCCAGAACAGTCTCTGGGTTGACCTTGAAAATTAGTTAAATTAGGGATAAAGTCTCTTGCCCATTATCTCTAATTCCTATGAACCTCCCATCTTTTTTTTTATTGGGATGAAATTCACGTATTACACAATTAACCATTTTTAAAGTGTACCATTCAGTGACACTGGGTGCCTTCACAATGTTGGCAACTACATTGGGTGCCTTCACAATGTTGGCACCTCTCCCTAGTTTCACCTTCCCTTTGTTTTAATTACTGGTATTTGACTCTTATTCTTTCACCCAAACTCTTATTCCACCAAAGCCATAATTTCTGCTGGGAACCAGTCCCCAGAATGCCCTATTCTGATGCAAAAAGCAGACAGACTAGCAAGACTTAGACTTGAGAGCAGGCAGGTCACACTACTTAGCCCAGCAACCAACTCAGCTTTAATGAGCTGAAGCTGGGGGAAGCGGGGAGGCGGTGAGGAGACAAAGCCTTCTCCCAACATGGGGGAGGGATCTTTTCGACAAAACCCACTCACTCACCTATTATTCTGGGCGGGTTCCTAATGCCTGTGCGTACTTCTCAGCTTCGTATGTACCACACTCTAGAGCAGCAGACTGATAACCCTTTCTTCCCAAGAGAGTACTTGTCTCACCTAAGACCTCAGGGTCCCTGTACATGATGGTATAATGGCATATTTATTCTTCTGTTCACAAGTTGCTTTAAAATGTACTTAAGATAGTTACTAAAGCCCTAGCCGGTTTTTCTCAGTGGTTAGAGCATTGGCCTGAGGACTGAAGGGTCCTGGGTTCGATTCAGGTCGAGGGCACATACCTCATATCTCGGTTGCTGGCTATTCCCCAGCCCAGGCCCTGGTCGGGACTCCTGCAGGAGGCAACCAATCAATGTGTTTCTCTCACATCCATGTTTCTCTCTGTCTTTCCTTCTCTCTCCCACTCTCTCTAAAATTCAATGGAAAAATATCCTCAGGTGAGGATTAAAAAAAAAGTTACTAAAAGCAAATAACATCTCACTGATGGCCCAGCAGACGTAGTGCCATCTTCTTTAAGTCCCTGCTCAGTCAACAGCAATACTTCTAGAAGCTTCTACAGTGACCTCCAGACACAGTTAACTCTTATATTCCTCAGTATTTTTAATACCACGTTGAAGACCAATATCATAGACTTGTGATAATTATTCCTAGTTGGTCACCTTGTGAGATCCTTGGGGGCAAGGAATATGCTTTACTCATCCTTTCATTGTAACTCGGTGCCTGGTACTTGTCCAGACAATGAAATCCTAGGGGGAGCGAGAAGGTTCTCCTCTAACCTCCATCACACACGCTGGATTTGCCCTCCCTGGAACCAGTTAGGAGGCCACAGCAACTTTGTTTTTTGGTCAATCCTCACCCGAGGATATTTTTCCATTGATTTTTAGAGAGTGGAAGGGAGGGGGAAAGACAGAGCCCAATGGAGGACTTGATGTTCTCTAAGTTTCTGTGAAAATAAGCAAACAGCCATCCTGTTTTGCTAACCCTGGTTCTCTAGGGAAATAACTTCCCTGTTCCCAATAAAACAGAACTGCTCCCAGTGGTGTTAAAAGAGGGAGGGCAGGGGGGGGGGACCCACAAAAACTCGAAGGTAGTAGCATTAACCACTTTAGCACATCGTCACAAAAATGATCTTTTCTGGTGTGGGCAGATGGGGATCCCAGGAGGCCAGGGGTGCATGAGTGAGACCGAGGAAGAGAGGCTGCCGGCAGAATCTCCTCTGGGCCACTCCTGCCCACTTCTCGGGGAGTCTGCGCAGATGCCCAGGGTGCTGGGCAGCCCCTTTCCAG